TCATCATCATCATCATCATCATCAGCAGCAGCAGCATCATCATCATCAGCATCATCAGCATCATCATCATCAACATCAGCAGCAACATCATCATCAGCATCATCACCATCATCATCGTGATAGTCATCATCAGCTTTCTTCACGTTGGGAGCTGTGGAAGGGGAAGGGATGCCGAGGGATGGGTAACGGGGGTGAGGGAGGAGGGAGGCGCAGCATGCACACCGTTCTTCTGTGACACAGCAGCAGCAAGCTCTGGACTCGTCGTCCTCTCTCCCAAGTGCCTTTCGCGTCCATGCTGGCTCAAGCGTGAGGGGTACATGTACAGCTTGGGCAGGAGTCGTATCAGGTGTGCGCATCAGCACGGTCACTCTGCTCAGACGATCCGTTAAGCCGTACTCGTGCGTTGGCTTCCACACCTTTGCACAACGGTCCGACCTAGAAGTATATCACAGTGCCACTATCTCGATTGTGTTGGATAACAGAAATAGTATCGACACCAGTATTGGCACTTCTTGCTGAATTGGTGCAGCGGACCACGATGACCACGGCGACCACATGTTTGCCAGCGTGGACTCTACGCAGTAAGAGTTCTGGATGTGGAAGGTATCCAGCCGCCTCCAACAATTCCGCCACCGTGCCAACGCAGCGTTCTGGATGGCAACTACTCGAGAAGGCAAGGAGGCCTGCTGGGGGCAAGTTGTGGCAGACGGCTTGAATTCGTGTTCCCACTCTTGGGCCCTTCTCGGGGCCCTCTTTGAGCCCTCTTGGGCAGTCTTGGGCGCCTCTTGTGCCGTCTCGCAGCCCTCTTGGTGGCCTCTTGAGCCATCTCGGGGGAGTCTCGGGTGCCTCTCGGCCGGTCTTGGAGCGTTGGAAGCTCGAAAAAGCGATAACTCAAAACACATGGAACACGCTATGGCAAAATATGTTATTGTGCCGCTCGAGGCCTTCTTGGAGGCCTCTCGGGGGGCCTCTTTGGGTCCTCTTGGGGCCTCGTGAGCCCTCTTGAAGCCGAAGGTTCGAATTGTCGGCTCGTGTTCCCACGCTTGGGTCGTTCTTGGGGCCATCTTGGGGCTCTCTTGGGCATTCTTGGGCGCCGCTGGTGCCGTCTTGGAGCCCTCGTGGGCCGTCTTGGGGCCCTCTCGAGGGCCGCTTGGGCCGTCTTGGGGCAGTCCATGGTGGCTCGTTTTGGGACGTCGGAAGCTCGAAAAGGTGAGAACTCGAAAAGGATTGAAACACCTCAAGAACACATGTTGTTTTGCCTCACGGGGCGCTCTTGGGAAGGCTCTTGGGGCTCTCTTGGGACACCTCGACGGAAAGGTGGGCCAGACAGCGCGGACCGGCGCAAGGTCGCCCAGGCCTGCCGCGCGCGAGGGAGAACGCGCCCCTGACGGCTGCCTTGGACGTCATTGTGATCGTTTTTAATCTATTGTTTTGCCGATCGGCGCGGGCCCTCGCACCCTCCCCTCCCCCCCCTCTCCATGGAGTAGGTCTTGCCTGTTTTTGGTCGCCTGTTTCGAGCAGGTGGGGTCTCCCCCATAGGACGCCCTGGTGCAAACAGTCACACGAAGCAGAGGTCCAGAGCCAGCCCCCCCCCCTTTCCCCCCCCCCTTCCGCCCCATGTCGAAACGCCGATTCAGAAAACGCTCACATCCCCCCGGGGGCTGCACGCGGGCCCCCCAAATGTGGCGGCCCCCGCCGGGCGGTCTCTCCGGGCCTCGCCTCCAGGGGAAAGCTCGAACGGCCGCTCGGCGCGGGGGCGCGCCCGCCGGGGGGGTGCCGGAAGGGCCGCCCGGCGGGAGCGCGCCGGTGGTCGGGGGCAACGATGTAGGGGGGGATAGGCATAAGGGGGGATGCATCGCCCCTCAATCGCCCATTGATCGTCGATAGGGGCCCGATAGCCCCAACCTGCCCAGGAAGCTGCGGAATCACTATCGGAGGCCCATCGCCGATCTACCGGCGATGTAATGCTGATTCCAGGTCAATGCATCCCCCCCCCCTGTGCCAGCCCCCCCTTATCGTTGCCCCTCATGCGGGGGAGGCGCCAGACCAGCTTCCCGGAGGGAGCGCGCCCGGGGGGCGCGCGTTGGCGGGGCTCCCCGGCGCAAGGACGTTTAAAGACGCTGCTTATGCACAGATCATTCGGCCTGGTGGGTGGCCGATGTATACAAGGTGTCTTTTTTCAATGCCTCGTTCATGACTTGTGTCAGTCATACTCGGGCCGAAACATCAAATTACTTACTGCGTGGAGCTCTCCATATGTGCATCTCATGTTTTATGATATGCCATACTGAACGTTTCTCTATGACTGCCTGACTATAAGAGCGCGTCCACGTGGTCGACAGGTCCGACGAAGACGGTTCAACACAGATGTACAAAGTTTGGGTGACTTGGGAGACTCGGGGAACGTGGGAGATCTGGGAGACGTGGTAGACTTGGGGGCCTTGGGAGCCTTGGGAACTTTGGGAGACCTGGGAGACATGGGGCACTTGGGAGACTCGGGAGACTTGGGAGGCTTGCGAACCTTGGGAGACATGGGAGACTTGGGCGACCTGGGAGACTTAGAAGAGTTGGTCGCCTCGGGAGACTTGACAGACTTAGGAGACTTGGTAATTATTCCTGCTGGGAGACGTGGGAGACTTGCGGGACTTGGGGGATTTTAGAGATTTGGGGGAGTTTAGAGACTTGGGGGGGATTTGGGAAGCTTGGGAAGCTTGGGAGGCTTGGGCGACTTAGGAGACCTGACAGACGTGGGAGACGTGGGAGACTTTCAGCGCCCCGCCTGAGACATCCTCACAATCTGCTTTCAACGTGAAGGATGTTGGGGCAGAAATCAGGCAAACCGCTTGAGACATCCCCACAAAACGGCCGCGAACGAGACCGTGTCATACCCTTCAGCGGCTCCCCTTAGGGGTGTTGAAACCAGCGCCCTGCCTGAGACATCCTCACAATCTGCTCTCTAAACGAAGGATGTTGGGGCAGAAATCAGGCAAACCGCTTGAGACATCCCCACAAAACGGCCGCGAACGAGACCGTGTCATACCCCTTGGCGGCTCCCCTTAGAGGTGCTGAAACCAGCGCCCCGCCTGAGACATCCTCACAATCTGCTCTCCAAGCGAAGGATGTTGGGACAGAACACCGGCAAACCACTTGAGACATCCCCACAAAACGGCCGCGAACGGGACCGTGTCATACCCCTTGGCGGCTCCCCTTTGGGTGTGTTGAAACCAGCGCCCCGCCTGAGACATCCTCACAATCTTCTGTCCAAACAAAGGATGTTGGGGCAGAAAGCAGGCAAACCGCTTGAGACATCACCACAAAACGGCCGCGAACGAGACCGTGCAATACCCCTCGGCGGCTCCCCTTAGGGATGTGAAAATGAGCGCCTCGCTCGAGACATCCTCCAAATCTGCTCCGAAAGCGAAGGATGTTGGGGCAGAAAACAGGCAAACCGCTTGAGACATCCCCACAAAACGGCCGCGAACGGAACCGTGTCATACCCCTCGGCGGCTCCCTTTAGGGACGTGAAAATGAGCGCCTCGCTCGAGACATCCTCCACATCCGCTCCGAAAGCGAAGGATGTTGGGACAGAAAACCGGCAAACCGCTTGAGACATCCCCACAAAACGGCCGCGAACGGGGCGCGCGTGAGTCTCAGCATGAGCAAATCTGAGTAGGAGCAGGTCTGAGTATGAGTAGGTCTGAGTATGAGTGATTTTGCGCGTGTGTGTGTGTGTGTTTGTGTGTGTGTGTGTGTGAGAGAGTAAGTCTGGGTATGAGTAAGTCTGAGTGTGCGTCAGTCTGTGTATGAGTAAGTCTGGGTATGAGGAGGAGAGGGGAGGAGAAGGAGGAGGAGAAGTCGGCGGAGTCCAAGAAATAACAAGAACCCCATCTTAGGATATGGGGAACAACCTTTACTTGCGTCTTCACTTGTTCCGAGCCACCTGTTACGTTTTTTATTCAATCCTTTTTCTCCCAGAAAATGTTTTAACATTGAAATGTTTTTCACTGCGTTTCAGGGGGGGCGCCCAGCGAGAAGACACTTCTCCCGGGCATCTCTTGGGCCCCCCGCCCCGAGCGTGGCCCCCCCACAGGCTCCCCCCCTTCCTTTGGCCCCCTCACCATTTGGACTCCTCCTCCATGGGATTCCCCCAGAGGACTTACCCACGGGGGGTCTTCCCCCATAGGGTTCCCCCGTGAGACTCCCCCATGCCCATTTCCCCTATAGGACTCCCCCATCGGATTGATCCGTGGCACTCCCCCAAAGGATTCCCCCGTGGGATTCCCCCGTGAGGCTCCCTCATAGGACTCCCCCATAGGATTCGGTCTTCCCCAGAGGACTCCCCCGTAGTGTTCACCCAGGGGACTCCCCCCCCACAGGACCCACTCATGGGACCCCCCCTTAGGTCCCCCCAAATCCATATGACCACAGGACTCCCCCATGGGATTTGGACTCCCCCAGAGGACTCCCTTGTAGGACTCCCCCGCAGTGTTCACCCAGGGGACTCCCCCCACAGGACCCATTCATGGGACCCCCCCTGGGACGCCCCCAAAGAATTGCCCCATATGACTCCCCCATCGGAGTTCCCCAAGAGGACGGCCCACGCGCGGGGATCGCTGAACGCATTCGATGGCGTACGTTTTGAACATTTGTACATGCCTTGGGTCGAGGTCTGGAACATGATTGAAACATCGGGAACAGCAGTAATTCCCCAATCAGTGCTTACACTGGAGAGGTCCTAGCGGATATTGAAAGATTTGGCGGAAGTTTCCCGCCGATTTTGGTTCTCGGGTTCTTGGTTCCGGGTTTCTCGGTTCCTGGTTATTGATTCTTGGCCGAGTTTTCAAACCATCCACTGATTGGGGTGTTTCTCTGGTGTAATTGAATGATCGGATTGTTCGAGTGTCCGCTGTCATGGCGTCCACAACACGAGGGGCTTCACCAAAGAGGCTTACGCACCGCTGCCAGCGCGATGGTAGATCTGGGGGAGAATTCGAATCAGCAAAATCGGCGGGGCCTTCTCTAAGCTGGAGCCATCTGTGCGACGCCACGGTTGCGGAGTGCTTGTGTGACCTCGTTCTGGGATGCACGGGCGAGAGAAACAGACAACGGGAGAGCCATGATGACATACACGAGGGACGTGAATAGGCAAGCGTAATGAGTAAGGAAGGAGGAGACACGTTAGAGTGGGAGGCGCAGGGGCCAGAACAGGACGACACCGAAGGCGACGACAACGAGAAACACGAGCAGGAGCAGGAGCAGCAGGAGCGGCCTCAGGGGGCAGGGCGACGGGCGGCGGAATTCAGGAAGGGGCGCTACTCTCAGGCGATCGCAAGTGTGGATCAAAGGGGGCGTGGATTAGCGACGGGTCCCGTTTCCATGGGAAATCGCGGATTTGCGCCGCCCAGCGAGGCGGCACCGGCCGCAGTTTGGGGAGGGCACCTCCCCCGATCCATGGATTTGGCGACCGCGCGCCAAATCCATGGATCGCTCGCTGATCCATGTTTGCGCGCCACCGATGCTCGCTTGTCCTGCATTTTGGCCTGCAGGCGACATGGGCACGATCCGGCTCATGTACTACCCGGGGTTCGTGGAGGCTTTCGCGCCTTGCCTTTTGTATGTTTTTTGTGTGTCCCTGTTCCTCCCGCCAGCGGCTCGAGCGACTCAGAAGGAGGCCCGATCGGGGCCACGACAAGGGGCAATGCACAGCCCCCCGCGATCCCAGCCCCCCGCGATCCCAGAAGATGATCTTCTGGGATCACGGGTTGTTGACCGGACGTGCGCTGGGGGGGGGGGCAACCGGAACCACGACGGTGAGGGACACTTGCCGCCGACGCCAGCTTCTGCCCTTTCCGTGTCGGTGGGGGCGCTCGGTGTGTCAGGATTCGGTTTTGTGGGAAGCGCAATTCGGCAGAGATGATCCATCGGACAGACGTTCCCTGGTGGTGTCTCTCCATGTTAGGGGTCCAAATGACGCGGCGGTCAAGCCGCAGAGCATCCGATCATCATTAGGTGATCACTCTGGATACGTGTGGGAGTTACCGAGAGAGTACGGTTTCGCTGGTGTTATTTTCGTTTCCACGCGTGGCTCAAGTCGGCCATGCGCAGAGGTGGGTAGGGGGAGGGGGGAAAGTAGTCTTCTTAGAAGCACCTTTCTTTTTGGAAGGCGCGGGCCTCGTCTGTGAATGTAAGACTGGCGCCTTCTCAGAAGCAGCCTCCTTCTAAGAAGCCTTCCCCCCTCCCCTATGCCCCCTTGTGCGCGCCGACAACCAAGGGTCGGATTCGGTAGTGGCCAGTGGTAAGGAATCAGCAGGGAAGCAGGGATATCCTTTGTGGGCAGCTCGAAAACAGCATCGGGCCCCGCTCACTTCCGCCGTCTGACAGGTAGAATGGGGGCCAGCATCGGCGAGACCCAAACACTCCCGCATGTGTTACGCAATGTTCAGCGCAAGCTCAGCGTCCGATCTACAGTCAAGGCGCTGAAATAAGGACATCTTTGGGTTCGGAAGGGGCTCGCTGTTCCTTAGGTCCTTCCGTGGCTGTTCTTCTAGTCCCCCTCGTGCTTGCAGGCGTTCTGCATGCCAGAAAAGGGCCTTCGTTCCTCATTCAGCGTGCCTTATGGCAGCCGCTGGATTGTACCCCACCAGCACGCCGCGCGTTTCCTTTCTGATGTTGTTGTCGGTTGTTCCCCGCAAGTTTGCTCGACTCGATCTGGCCGCGAGGTCGTGGCTAGCCTCAGCCGTTCCAGGGTTGCGTCTTTGTCGTTTTTCCCGGGGCATGCCAGCGGCCGTCCCAGCTGGGACGGCCGCTGGCATGCCATCCCAAGCTACCTGCAGGTAAGAAGCTACCTGCAGCCATCCCAAAACGCTGCTGCTTTACTTCTCGCCTGCGCGGCTGTCGTCTCACCCCAACGACGCTGCTTTATCGACGACGCCTACGGCGAGTCACCGCCGCCCCTTGCCTTTTGGACGCGCCTATGCAGTCGAACGTTGTGGCAGGAGCACCAGGCCAAGCGGGCGCGCACGGCCGCGTCAAGCTCCTAACCCGCAACGGCGTTGGGAGTTCGTCACGGCCAATGTAACGAGTCGGTTTGGTCTTGAATGCATTCTTGAGGCACACCCGATTCTCGAGTCTACGGCTGCCTATGTCCAGGAGCATCACTTGGCGCAGGGGCAAGGCTGGGAAGCCAGACTAAGGATGATAGGCTTGTCGGCCAAGGGCCTTCCGGACGGCTCGCATTAGCTTGATGCATCTCTCCGCAGTGTGCCCAGGCGGGCTAGTGTGGGTGAACGTGGATTTTCAAGACTCGCAAGGCGCGTCGCAGTTGAATTGGCACCTGCTCGTAAGATTTGGTGCGGTCCTTCGCAGGTATGTGTTTCCGTTTGTGTTGTCAGGAGATTGGAACATCACCCAGAATAGTTGCAGGGCACGGGCTGGGCCGAGTCGGTGCAGGCGGTCCTTATAGCCCCGTCCATGCCGACGTGCACCAGAGGCGTCAACCCGAGGGTGCTCGATTCCTGCGTGGTGTCCAGAGGGCTCCAGTACGGCAGTTCGATCCAGGTCCTCAGCGCCGTGGGCACGTAAGACCACAAGCCAGTGCCGCCCTCGCTCACTGGCACGAAGCAGACACCGCAGCTTCTGCAGGTTCGAGTTTCCAAACTCTTCCTTAGAGCACGATCCGCAGGGTGCTATTTGGAGAGCACTCGATGGGGGCCTGTGCAAGTCCTATTCGACACGCTGCTGAACATGGAGGGCGCCAGGTATACAACTGGTGTCCAGGCGCAGCCGGGCGTTGACACGGCGTGGGCAGAGCTCGTCTCCACCATGGAACGCAGGTTCGTCGAGATCTACCATATCCCCGACGACCAGCCGCAGCAGCACGCAGGGCGGGCATTGCGCCAGCCGCCCTCGCAGTTGTACCCGCGCACTTCGGCTCTCACTAGTTGGTTTCGAGGCCTTGTGGAGCTGTTTGCAGGGCGGCCACGCTGGCCGCGGCGCGGCAGCACGCCGCCTCTGCAGACAGGCTGCCTCCAGACTGCGTCGGAGGATGGCGCGTGTTGTTGCAGTCAGCTTTCAGAATGGATTGGCCGCTCGACAGTTTCCTGCGCGCTCACGCTCGTACCGCAGCGGCCTGCACCACAGAAGCGCCGAGCGCAAGCGTGATCAAGAATCGAGGTCCTGGGTCCGCGCGAACAGTAATGCTTGGGGCTGAGCGCTTTGCGCCGTAGCATGCCCCCCACCCCCTGGCACTGAAGCCCCACCTTTCAGGCAGACGGCGCTTCTCGCGCCGCGCCCGCTTCGCAGCAGCAGGAGATGCAGTTGCTTACGGAGGAGTGGAGTTTGTTCTGGAGGGGAGGAGAAGGAGGAGGAGGATCGTCTGCAGTGGCCCGGCGATATGGGCCGCCTCTACCAGACGTTTATTTAGATGGGCTGCGTGCGTGATTACAGTCCTTCAAGACCGCCTCAGGCACTGGCTTCAACCAGGCCAGTCCGCGCCAGCTGCTTGAGCTCCTTAGCGAAGGGGCTTGAACGCTCGCGGGGACTCATCATTCTCATTGAAGACGCGAGGTGCTGGCCCACCATGTGGAATAAGTTAGTGCTCCTCAAGAAGCGCACAGAGTGGTTTCGCCCCATTGCTTTGATGCACGAGACTGCGCAAGTGTATGGGCGTCTTCGCACGCCCTTGCTCCGAACATGGCAGCAAGACAACTTTCGTGAGTTCTGTTGGTCGACCGCGGGCAGGGGGTCGGAGCGGCTCGTCTTGTTTTCAAGCTGCATTTGCGGAGTGGGCTGTCAGTGGGAACTTCTGCGCAGGCACCGTTTTGCTTGACCTGCGCAGCGCCTCTGAGAGCATCGGGCATCGGGCCCTGCTGGGCGCGGCTCGGATGCCTGGCTTCCCCCTGCGGCAGTTTCGTCTGCTCGTCGCCTCGCATCGCGCGCCGCGGGTGCTTGAATGTGCCGGCGTCAGCTCCGTGCACGCTGAGACGCAGCCTGCTGTGCTCGTGTCAGTTCGCCACCCCATGTTTCAGATGGTGCTGCTCTGTCCACTTGTTGTGGCACAGGCCGCCTTCTCCGCCGCGGGTTCGGGGGCGCGCGCATGTCGGCGCGGTCGCAGACGATTTCGGTTCTCACAAAGTAGGTTCTTACGCGGACGCGCTGAAAGGGGCTGTCTGGGGCGACGGTCATGTTGCATCAGGAGCTCGACGGAGTTCATGTGCCAATTAGCCGTCTCAAGAGCCGCGTGCTTGCGTCCACCCCCTTGTTGAGACCCTTCGTTCTCGTCGTACTCTGGCCGTTCAGTCTGAGAGAAACGTTGGGCTGGACTGCGCGGCGGGCGGAGTCACCGAGCGTCCCGCGAAGCGGGGGCGCAGGGAGGCTGCCGTCGCTAGGCGACCCAGCATTGTTTCTCTGGCTGGTAAGTCGCGCGAGCGAGTTGCGCGCGACGTGGCCCGAGCCGCCGCGCAGGCTTCCACCTCGCACGGGTCGGGGGCGATGGGCGCTTCGGGCGCGAAGCTGCGTCGAGCCAGACTTTTGCAGGCCAGCGCGCAGTCTCAGCGCCCCAACTGACGCAGCATCACTTTCATGTTGCATTTGCTAGGGGTCAAACTCGTTGACCCTGCTAATGAGCTTCTTATTACTCCCCTGCTCCATCTGGCCTCCGCCCTCCGGCGGTCTCGGGCCCCTCGGGGCGTCATCGTGGCTGGGCTGCAGGGGGCCCAGCAGGCCGGTGAAGGGTTTGCCTCTCCGTGGAAAGCCATCCGAGAGCCCTTCGCGGCTTGCGCTGCCGAGGCTTTTCGCCGTGGCATTCAGATCGATGGCCTCGGGTGGTATCATCAGGTGGTCGGGACTTTTTCACCGCCCGAGCTCTGCATGCGCGCGATCGGGCTCGCTCGCGCGCGCGTCGTCGAAGCTTGGCGTCGGCGCAACGTCGCCGAGCATCTCGACAGTCTTGTTTTTGAGCGAGTGCCAGTCGTCGCCCCCATTATTGTTGGCATGCGCCCACTCGCAGCCCATCAACAAGCGCGCGCCGTTTCGGTTGCGTCGGGGGGGGGGGGCAGTGATCGCGGGCGCGGCGGGCGGAGCTGCAGCTATCAGTTTTTGCCGAGTGTCAGATCCGTCAGAACGCGCCTGGCACGCTCATGCATCGCCATCTCGCGCGTCCTGGGCACGAGCAGGCTTTCGAGGCAGAAGCGCCAGCTGTAGCAGCTTCGCACCTGCAAGCCATTGGTCACCCCTCGGTCCGCCTCCTCGCCGAGAGGCTGCTCGCGCCTCGGTCTGCTGCCCCTCCTGACCCCCCCCCATCCTTCGGAGGTTTGGGCTTTTGGAGATCCTAGCACACTGGATGGGGACGTCTTCCTGTCGTGGCTGGAGACCTTGTCGCCGGTATCTATGATATCGATGCGCGTGAGTTCTGGGCCTTTCTGATGGCCTTGCATCTTGCACTTCCTGGGTCCACCTTTTGGACTGATTCCGTATGTGCGTATGGCGGCGCGGTCAGGCGCGGGCATTTTTCTGTTGCTCGGCCAAGTCGGCCTGGGCAGACATCTGGGTGATGGCGTGGGCCTGCCTCGAGGATCGGGTGCGCGCGCGCGGGCGGGCAATCAGCTCGCCGACGAGGCGGCCAAGGAGGCCGCTGCTTTCTCTCAAGTGTCGCATGCCTATCGTGTCAGTTATCGCAGGCAGGCTAAGGTCGTTCAGTTCCTCACCTCCTGGGCGAGCAGGATCGGCGTCAAGATGGCCGATCTTGACGCGTTGCACGTGCCTCCTGGGGAGCACAAGCTGAAGCCGCGTAAGGATGTCTGCGTGGTGTTGCCGCCTACGCCTGTGGTGCCGCCCAGTCTGTCACGTGCTGATGCTGTGCTCGCCTCGCTCCGCAAAAACGGCCGCGTTTCCCATCGTGGCTTTTCCTGTTGCGCTGTCCAGTGGCTTGAAGGGCACTGCCTGCGCGTGTTGTGGGGCGGGTGGTGTCACGCTTCAGGCCTCCTTCAGGGAACGGTGCAACCAGCGCCCCGCCGCCTGGGGTCGCCGTGCGTTGAAGGGTCTTGCCGAGGGCAGCTATTTAACGGAGCCCTGGAGGCCAAGATATTTGGTTGAAAGCGGGCAGGCACCCAGGCCTGCCTGGAGTTTTGGGAATGGGGGGCCCTGTCGCTGGCCCTTGTCTTGGTGCGTCAAGCCCAGGCAAGGTGAGTGGTCTCGCTCCGATGGCCCCCCCCCCCCCTTCAGTTTCAGTCAGGACTGTGGGGCCTCTCTCCTTTCTGTCTTTGAGTCGTGCGTAGGAGGAGGAGGAGGAGGAGGAGGAGGAGGAGGAGGAGGAGGAGGAGGAGGAGGAGCAGGAGCAGGAGCAGGAGCAGGAGCAGGAGCAGGAGCAGGAGCAGGAGCAGGAGCAGGAGCGGGAGGAGGAGCAGGAGGAGGAGGACGAGGAGGATTCTTGGGAGCTTTTGGGGCACTCGGGGCCTCCTGCTCCATGGGCCTCTTGGAGGCCTCCTTGGGCCTCCCAGAGACATTTGAAGGCTTCTTGGAAGGCTTCTTGGTTGTCTGAGGGCGTGCCTGGCCGGTCTGACGCCTTCGGAAGCCGTCTTGGGGCCTGTGTGGGCCGACTTGGGGCTCTCCGGGGGTGCTTCAGGGCCGTTTTGATGGTCATCTTGGGCGTCTTGGTGGTCTCGTGCGCCCCTTTGGGGCTTGAGCCGTCAGGGGATCATCTCGCAGATATCGTGGGCGTTCTTGGGGCCATGTCGGCGGCCTCTGGGGCCGTCCTGGGCCGCCAGGAAGCCGATTATGAGCAAACATCAGAATCCGTCAAACATGATTTGGGCCTCTTCTGGCCTTCATGGAGGTCCTCGGAGGCCTCTTGGGCCGTCTTCGAGGCCAATTGGGCAGTCTTGGGGCCATCTGGAGTCATCTTGAGGGCATGACGGCCCGTCTTGGAGACATTTTGGGGCCATCTAGGGCTCTCTTACAGCCATGGCAGCCGTGGTAAAGGCCATCTTGGAGCCGTCTTGGAGGACAAAAGGCACGCTCTGAGCAGTTTCGGCGGCTTTGGGCGGCTTTCCGGATAGCCGGCGGGTCAGGGCGAAGGCCCAATGGGAATCTATAAACGTAATCAAAGATTATTGAGCGTTTGGCACTCCGTGCGCCCTTGTGGCAAGCTGGCCGGGGGCGGCGGATCAGTGGCATTCAGGCCATCCCGCCACCGTGCTTTGGTTGTAGGTCAGGGGCCTCTTGTTGGATGCCTGTGGGGATCTCTTGGGAGGCCTCTCGGAAGCCTCTTGTAGGCGATTTCGGTGTTGGCTTGGGGCTTGGGGCTCCTCTTGGAGCCCTCGTGGGGCATCTTGGGGGCCTGTTGTGCCGTCTTGCGGCCAGCTTGGGCGTCTGGGAGCGATCTTCGGGCGACTCGGGGCCCTGCTGGACCGTCTTGGGGGTCTCTTGAGGCCTTTTGGCCCCGTATTGGGGCCTCTGGCCTCATTGAAGTCATGCGACAACGCGTGCCAGCACGCGACAAGGCCCTGAGTGCACGCGCCATGCGCCACGCCCCAGGACATTGGGGTCCCATGCCTAAACAGCAAATCGTCAGGCCGCGGGAAGTTGCTTCGAATGTGCCACAGGTTGCCCAGCGCACAGAGCGTCCGTCTATGCGTGAGGGGTGTCATTCTTGCCACCGTCTCGGCGCTGGGTCCACTCATTTGTTTCGCATTTTTGTTTGTTTTGTCGGAGTTTGGATTCCCATTATTGTAGTGGCCTTCGGCCAGTGCCGCCGATCCGGGGTGCTCGGACTGATGTGATCATCCTTCGCCCTTCCCCCTCTCAGTCCGCATTTACCCATTGGCCTTCGGCCTATCCCGCCACCGTGCGTGGGTGGTGGGTCAGAGGCCTCATGGACGCTGGTTGTGATCTCGTGGTTGGCTGGGACCTCTGGGGGCCTCTTGGGGGCCTCTTGGGGCTTCTTGGGGGCCTCTTGGGCCTCTTGGGGCCACTTGGGAGCCTCTTGGGGGGTGTCTTGGGGGTCTCTTGGGGCTTCTTGGGGGCCTCTTCTGGGCCGCTTGGGGCCTCTTGGAGGCCTCTTCGGAGCTTCTTGGTTCGGGAGGGGTGGTACTCGAGTTCGGAACCCCCTCTGAGGCCACGATCCTTGTGAGGGGTGTCAAAAAACGCTCCCACCCCGCATTCGCCGGAAACTCGCACCCCCCCCCCCCACCCCCCCTTCCCCGGCAGAGCCACCCCGGCACCCCCCCCAGAGGCTGAGGCTCAGCCTCGAGGCTGTAGCTGAGACTCCTTGAAACTCACACGCCGGATCGGCGGATTTCGCATTTTTTCGCATGCTCATGATTTGTCATTTCCCCTTCGCATTTCTATCGGAGGAGCTTCTGTGGGCCAGCGGGGAGATGGCGAAGGAAAAAACGTCCACGCTGACCTCGCGATCAGCCCCCTCACTGTAGGAAGCGTACCTGGTTCTGTCCTTTCGAGGGGTTCAAGCTGTCCCGGTTCCGCTGGACAGCGTTTGTCATTCCCGAGCGATAACGGGCGTTACCGGGGAGGGGAGGGGGCCGGTGACTTCGCGTTTCACGCTGGCGCCGTCCGGGAATGCCTGGGAATAGCCAGAGACAGTTCGGATAGTAGATTCCCATTGGGATCTGCTACGTCAGAGCGCGCATACTTTTCAAGGGATTTGCTGTGGCAGAGCGCCTCCCTTCTTCTTCTCCTCTTCCTCCCACTCCTCGTTTTTCTCCTCGCTCCTCCATCCTTTCATATTCTCCTTCCCTCCGTCGTCGTCGTCGTCGTCGTGTTATTGCCTTCTTGGAAATTTGAGCCCAACGTGATTATTACCAGGAAGCTGTATACATATGGCATGGCCCGCCCGGGCGAGAGCTTAATGCACATGTGGACGTGTCAAGGGTTCGGCCTTCGTGTGGTTAAGTACGCCAGCAATTCGTACGCGTGTCCAGCAACTGGTCTCCACATGTTCTGGATCTAATTCCAACCGCGGGTTTTCCAGTTCCCTGGATTGCTTGAGACACTCAGCTTGATATTCTCGATCGATGTGGCCCTAATGCATCTCATGGGCCTACGCCGTGCCGCAGCCCCCCAGTGCGCCCCAGCAGTGTGGTGCGCACGTTGTTGTGCAGCGACGCGATTTGCAACGCAGTCAGGGAGAAGAGGACGACGATCGGAGGAGTGCTATAAGGAAGAGGAAGGGAAGAATGACGACGACGACGACGAGGCCACTTATCCCCCCCCCCAGAGCACGAACCGATACAGACAGAGGTGTAATTCAACAGGTTGTTTCGGCCTGATCCTGCCTGCCTCACCCCCCTCCCTCCTTTCGATCCCTTCCCTCATTCTTTGGTCCTCGTGTGAAGCACCTTGCACTGCATTGAGGGAAGCAAGGACGACAAGACGAGGAGGACGGAGGGGAGGAGAAGGGTGAGGCGGAGGAGGGAAGGGGCATGAGCGAGCAAAGACATATTCTATTCCCAGCAGTCCCCGACGTCGCGCTTAGCTATCCGTGGCTATCCATCGCAGGTCTTCGCATATGCATAGCTTGGTGCACGATCTGCCATCGCAGATCCCGTCGGTATCCGTTGCTCCAGTTTCTTTGGCGATTCCTAGGCACTCCCAGACGGCGCTGGCACGAATCGTGACGTTACCATGGGCTCGTGGCCACGCCGTAACAGCCGCAATCGGGAAACATGAACAGCGTGTTCTGCAAGTTCCTAGGAAGACGCTCAAAACATCACTCCACGAGGACGCTCCTCTTGCCCGCACCTTCTTTCCGTCGTTGGTGACCCCAGTTTGCCATCCAACCCGCCGCTGCAGTCGAGACCGTGGAACAGTTGTTCTCTGCTTCGGAAGTACCTCGTGGTTTTTTAGGTTCTTTAGGTTCCTCCTTCGGCCTTCCTAATATATGCTGGCGTCGTTGCAGATACCTTGGGGCAAAGCTTTGACTGTACCTTGTGCCGTCTCCCGCACATCGGCCCATGGAAGTCGGCGAGTGCCCATGCATGCCTGTCTGATTGGTTCCCTCTTCCCCGCGCCCCTCTCTAGATGAGCGGGGTGTTTTGATGTGTGTGTGTGTGTTTTGTACGTTTTCCTGGGCCTTCAGAGACCTCCAGAGACTTCGGAGACCTCTGGAGGCTTCTGAAGGCCTCCACCTTTTTACCCCCCCCCCCCTCCCCCACTGCCATTTTGGCTCGAGGCTGCCGCGGCTGCAATATGCTTAAAGAACTCAGAGCTGCTCTGGTTCGGTATTCAGCGCCGCGATTCTTTTGAACATGGGCGATTCAGATGGTCCGTCGTTGTCACGCAGCGGCGACTCCGCTGGCTGTCGTGAACGGCCATCGCGTATAACAACAACTGGTCTGTCAGACCGCTTTCCAGGATTAGCGTTCATACGACCGACACCAATTTCATTCGCGCGCAATTCAGAATGTTCTTCTGTGTCAGACGACTCGGAGAAAGATAGCTTATCCTACAACCGTTGCTTTTGTAGTTATTCCCAGAACTTTTGTGCGTTGACTCGAAAGCATGAACGTAAATGGCCTCGACTCCACGGTCTCGACGTGTTCACGGTATTTGACGTGAAGAAAAGCGTGGAGTTCGAGCCGTCGTCACGTTTGAGCAGATACAGGTTTCTTGTTGTTTTGACATTGAGCGGCATGTCTGCAGCATCATTCTGTATCCACGGGCTGCTCATATGGAGAGAGAATGCCTCCTTGTCTGGAGATGGATTGAGCTCCTTCGCGGCCATGTATGATGATAAGCCAACGTTTCTCAACTGGTTTCAGAATTCTGCTGCGGTGTGCATTTACATCACGATCGGCGTGGTCCTGCCTGTTCTCGCAAGATATCGGGGCGCTTCGCTTGATCAGGTGTTGAGCGTTGCGTACAAGTACGATGAGAGATTGGCAATGAGTTATTGGTACATGTTATGTTCCTTTATCGTGTGGCCAGTGATGTTCGGTCTAGTTGCACCGGTGCTGATCTGGATGCCCCGACTTCTTGGGGACCACCTGCACAAGAGCATTGACCACTGGGTTCCTATCAGTGTTTTCATTTGGACCATCGGCATGCTCTCCTTTGGCCCATCTAGGGTTGAAGAAGCTGGTATTTCAGCTGTGTTTGCCATTGTCACAGGGGTCGCTAGGCAGGTGGACGATATGAGTGCCGAGAATATTTCATGGGAGAAAGTGCTGAACCTAGCACGGGCGACCGATTATTTGTTGGCAGAGGCCTTCAAATGGAATTGCCTAGGACGTCTAATAATCTTTCGCGTCGCCATTTTCTTTTTGCTCGCTACGGGATTCGGTCTCGTTGGGTTGTTCCACCATAAACCCCCCCTAAGACACATGTACCAATCATTTGGTGTAATGTCTGCGGTTTGTGGCAGTGCTCTTCTATTCCGCTTAGGACGCATCAGCGAGAGCTGCAGTGGCACAACTCCTGCATCTGGTGGTCTCAAGGCTGTGCTGCTGCAGAAGATGATGGAACACACAAACTCAAATCAAGTCTCCACGCTTCGCGCATCCTTCAGAAACGAGCATTCGGCGAGTTGTCATAAGGAGGAAGACGGGGATCACCAGCCAAGCTGGCCATTTTGGAAGCCTTCGGGGCCCTATTGGCTCCCTTCGCGTTGTGTGCCCCTTCTGGAGGCTAGTCGCTCAGGTGTAGGGGGGGGGGAATTCGTGCGCCCATCTGGTTGGAGCCCACAAGCTGGTGCCTTGGGGCCCTCTTCTGGGTCCCTCCTGGGGACGTCTTGGACCATCTTGAGGCAGTCTTGATGCTTCAAGCTGGCCGCCCCGACTGCTGGTGAACCTCCTCGGCCAAACCCCCAGGAAGGGGTAGGGGGATGGGTCACGACACCTCTCCTGGACGCAAACTGTTTGGTTCTGTCCCACCCGCCCTCCCAACACAGAAGTAGTACCGGAGTCTCAGCAGAGTGCTGTCGCTTCTCGAATCCCCACCAGCCCATCCTGAGACAGCCACCCTAGCGAAGAGTACCGGCTATCGGGATTTGGCAGTCAGCTTTGCAGCAACGATGCTCAGAGGAGTTGCTTCGATCAGGGGAGTGTGGAAGCACAGAGAAATAAAGGACGGGAGATGCCGTCGTACCACAAGAGGGGAAGATGGAGGAGGAATCGGAGGAGGAGGGAGGAGGGGGGAGAAGGATGTGGGGGAGGGGGAGGGGGGAGGGGGGAGGAGGAGGATGTGGGGGAGGTGCAGGAGGGAGGGGGAGGGAGATAAATAGGCAGATGCTGATGATGAGGAGGAGGAGGAGGAGGAGGAGGAGGAGGAGGAGGAGGAGGAGGAGAGGAGGGAGGACAATGGCGAGTTTGTGGGCCTTTTGGGCCGTCTTGGGGTCTCCTGGCGGTCCTGAAGCCCCTCTTGCGTACCTCGGGGAGCCTTTTGGGGCCTCTTGGGGCCTCTTGGAGGCCTCTCGGGCGCCTTTTGGGGCCTCCTTGGCGCCTCTTTGGGCCTCCTTGGGGCGCTCTTGGAGGCTTTCGAGGTGCTCGTGGGGCCATCTTGGAGGAGATCGATCAAATAAAGGGGGAGTTTTAATTAACCTCCCCCCCAACCCCCAAGAATCGCCCCTTGGGCCCCTCTTGAGGTGGTCTTGGAGCGCTCTTGGGGCCGTCTTGGGGCTCTCTTGGGCTTCCCTTTGGTTCTCTTGGGCCATGTTCAGGCCATATTGAGGCCTTGGAAGGCCATTGGAAGCGACAAGGTGAGAAGGCCAAACACATTGGTGTTCCTTAGGTGTTTGAAGACTTTGGGCATCTTGGCGTCCTCCTTTGGAAGGCTCCGTCGCCACTTGGTACCGTCTTGGAGCGGTCTTGGGGCCTCTTGTGGGCTATCCTGAGCTATCTTGGATATTGGAGGCTATCTTGGGCTTTCCGAGGCGCTCTTGGAGCCATCTTGGGGCATCTTGGGCGCTCCAACCCCTCGCCGCCCCCCCCGTCCAGGTCCAGAGGAGGGGGTAAGGGGAGAGGTAGACCCCTTCCCGAAGGGGGAGAAGGAGAGGGTGGGAAGAGGAAACTTGTTAGACCACCTACGCCCTAAAGGGCAGGTGGGATTCAGTGGCCGTCTTTGGATGGGCAGCTACTGGTAACCAATACAGACACCAGGTGCGCAACGCTGGGGCAAGGTGTGCCACGCGTGCCAGGCGCGCCAGGCGCCCCTGGGATCCTAGCGTGCCAGGCACGCTTGGTGCGCCAGATGCGCCACGTGCTCCACGTGCGCCAAGTGTACCGCATGCTCCAGCCGCGCCAGGTTCGCCACATCCGGGGCTCGCGCAGAATGTGCCAGGTGCGCCCGCGCACATCGGGAAACATGTCGGCCCCCCACCATCCGTGTCGAAAACAAATTCACAATCGCGGCGGAGTGGCCATCATGTTGTCTGGTGGGCTTGCACACAAAAGGCAAAATGCAAGCACCCAAGCTGTCCCTGTCAACAGCCCATGCACAGTGACCGCGGGGTGCCCTCGCATGGTCCAGCGTTTGTAGTGAAGTGCAGTTTGCAACTGTTTCTGCAAGGGATGGTGGCCCTGCGCACAGCAGGCCATATGCTGGCCCCCCCGCGGCCCCTGGCAGAAAAACAAGTCAAGAAGCTCGCGCCCCCCCCAAACATGATTATCGTTTACCGCAGGGTGCACTTTAAATGGTATGTTGACATGGACGGGGGGGCGTCGTCATTTGCCCTGGTTTGTCGCTGGTCGGGTGGGGGAGGGTGTGTATATTAATACGGTCAGGAGAGGCTAAGTGCCGGAATAAGTACAGACGGAGACCGAGCAATCCGTATGGACTGACTCCGTATGGACTCAGTCTGTTCGCATAAGGTGAGGTGGTGAACCGCTCACCGAGGGGGAATAATGGATTGTCTGGGGCGAGGTCAACCTCCAGACAACCGACGTCCAGAGGGCTGGAATCTACCTGACGGCCCACATCGGGACCAGCGGATGCTCAATCTCGTCGTGTCCTACGTCTCGCGACCCTTTTAGTCTGCTGAGTGTCTACCTCAGAGAGCGAACGATCGGCGTGGAATTGATGGGCGTCCGAGTAACAACCTCTTTGGTAGCAAGCATAGCAATCCGAAGTTGCTGTTACCTTCCAGGCATGAGCGCCATCCTGGGGGAGTTATGGAATTCCGATGAGGAGAAGGTCAAGTGTGGGGGCCAGCACGACCTGTGACCGTGTGTATTTGCCGCTGCCCGAAGTGTTGGGGCACGATCTGCCCCCGCCACACTTTGACTGTCACCGTGAGTGGACCGCGCTCGCTGTTCGCTCGCGAGTCCGACCAATTGATCGCTCAACAGTTCGAGGAGGGGTGAAGAGGGAGGGGGTCGAATTGCATTCACAGGTTCTCACCAGTTTAATAGGTTGCCCAGGTGTCTGCAGCAAGTCCGCCACCGTGCAAGCGAAGCACTGTGTGTGGCGATGTTTCGCGCGCCGCTCAGAAGCCGTCACATGCAAGGTGCAACTAACAAAGATGTCCAGGGGCTCTCTTCCAGGGTCCCTCCTGGGAGACTTCTTGGGAGACTTGGTGCGCCTCTTCGGGCCCTCCAGGACCGACCTGCGGCCGCAGAGCGTGGAAAGCGAAAAACATGGGAAAGCCTATGGGAAGTCAATGTTGTTGTGGCGTCTCCAGTGAAGCAATTCTCGCGGCGCCCTTGGGAGTCTGGCAGGACCGTCCGATGCTTCGAGCGGCTTCTTGATGGTCTGGGCATGCTTCCGGGGTGCCGCGTCTGCACGAACGGATCCTGCGCCAACGCGAGGCGTCCCCGGCATCGCGCGGTGGGCTGGGCAGCGATGGCCACGGATTCGCGCGGTCTTGCGTGTGCCGCAGTCTCGGGCGCATCCCCCTCCGCGTGGGGCCCCCACCCAGACGGCGAGGGGCGGCGAGGACCACGCATCGCGCGAGCCATGCTCAGGACCATCGGCGCTCGCCACGTCCACGCCGAGTCTTGAGGGTAGGGCCACGGCCACGTGCACGCGCACGTTAGATCCTGGTTGGGCGGGCAGCGCCGCGCCCCCCAAATCCGCTCTTCTGGGCATCGCAGTCGGTGAACAAGCAGCTGAATGAGCGCAGGTGAGGGCGACCTCAGGCAGAGCAAGAGATGCTCGGCAACAGGAAGCATCACTCGAAGGGTCGCGGCCTTGACCGACATCGCCTTCTCGACAGGCGTGCGGGCGCTCGCCGAGCGGGGTCCGACGACCGCAGCGCCGATCTCGTTTCAGCATCGTTTGACCGATCCGCATCCCCACCGGGCCATGTTTTCTCAGCCGGGCCATGTTTCCTCAGCACCACCGTCCCTCCCCGGGTTGCGGAGAGGCCCCTCGCAACCCGAAGGGCACAGTCTGTATTCCCATCTAGGTGGGTAAATCAGCATGTGTGGCCCAGGCCACGCCAGTGGGGATAGTGGTCGGTTAGACGATGTTCATTCGGTTTCAACGCCCTTGCGCCATTGACGGCCATTCAGTGCTCCTGCGGCTCTTCGAGAGGGTAAAGCGCCAGAGGCCTCACGCCAGCGTGGCTCTCCACAGGAAAAGGGCGTGCGCTGCACGCCGTGAGGCGTCTTGAGGAATTCCTCCTCCGCCCTCCCCCTTCTCCGCTCCTTGCCCTGTGCTTACGCAGGCGCGATGTTGACACCGTCTCGCGCAGCCAGATCAGAGCCCCGTCTTTAGGGGCGGCAGGCCGCCCAGGAGCTGGCACCTGGGGCGGTTTCTCGAGCCTGCCCTGCCTGTGCGCAGGCCCCCCCGGGGGCCCCATGCCGGGCGAGCAATACCGGCCGCGGGAACATTGGCGCGTGAGCTGCCCGCGTCAGGCCGCGGCCAGAGCTCCTGTCTTCCACGTGTGGTGCCGCGCTGGCGGCCCACGGAAGCCGTCGCGCCAGGTCGCCGCGCCTTTTCGGCTTTATTGCCGACGAGCTCCCGCCGTCCCCACTGGCATCGAATGGTGCAAAACAGACTGCATACATCTAAGCTTCAGGCGATCCGCGCGGATTTCTCGGATCTCGCTCGTTTTTCTCCTTTTGGGGCCTCCTCGGAGGCCCTCGTCGCCACCGCTGGATTCGCCTCGAAATTCTGGTCAGAACGCACCCCGGGAGAGGTCTGGGGAGCGGCGCTATCGGTACCTTTTGGTCTCCCCAGGATCGTTGCTGGGCCCCCCTGGCGCACATGCGGCGTCACCCCTGGCGCGCTCCGCGTGCCAGGGAGGGGTGCCCAGCGCCATTCCAAGCAGCGCGGATCTCAGGCATTCTATGTTTAGGCATTGTTTTGTTCCTCTATCTCTGGCAACGCGGGGCAAGGCGTGATGCGCATGGGGCGGGGCTGCCGCCGCAAACGCCCTTCCCCTCCAGGGCGAGCGCGCTGACGCCGGCATCACGGCGCACACCGACTTCGAGGCGCTGACGCTGATGCACCAGGAAGGTGGGCTACGTTTTTGAATTTGCAAAACAGTTTCCACCTCTAGGTGTCAATTTGTTTTTTGTTGCTGTGCTTCCAGGTCTCCACAACAAGTACCGACATCGCTGCAAATAACCAAAAGTTTCTCAGTGCTTTCAGATCTGGTGTTCCTCGTCGTCGGAGCCCGCCGCACCAGTGTCAGACGTGTGTCAGAACGTGTTTTTGTTTACCGTTTTGAGTTCGGCGCGTTGGAACCAGTATGGTCCCGCGTCCCGTCTACACAGTGCATGGATCTTCACATGAAGCAGAGCCGATCAAACAACTACATCAACCACTAGGAACAAGCTACTAAGTTTGGTTTTGGGGGAGTCTCGGCACGCCAATAACTGCACATACTTATGTATACATACATGTGTATGCGCATGTACCTAGCTCTGATACACAACGTTCAAACATGTGACAAAAAACGCTCAGGGCGTTCTGAACATGAACCAATGCGACGACGGCGATCGGCGACGACTAACGACGACGAACACGATGACAACGACGACGACAAGGACAGCGACGACTAATTACGGCTTCGACTGCGACTGCGAAGACGACGATTGAGACGGCGGTGAAGGCGGCAGCGGCGGCGGCGACGTCGAGGCTCTTTGATGTTAGCCGAGGTTTCCAGAGGTGGTTGTGGCGCAGGGGGGCTCCGCGGGGGATTTTGAAGGTCTCAGGAAGGCTTTTGCAGGTCGGGGGTCTGGTGGGGCCCGGCCAGGCGGCCCGTCATCGGGCCATGCTTGATATGCTGGGCCTTCCTGGCAGAGGGCGCTCCACAGCGCGCCCCTCCTCGCCGCGCTCACCTCCCGTATCGTGCGTGCCCCGTTTCCCGACGTGGACCCCTGGAGGTGGCCTCGTCCCCGTGCCCGGGGCAGGGTCTTGGCCGCGGACCGTTTGGTAATGCTCCTGGGGGCAGACCGGACGTCGTTACTTCTGTCCAAGGCGTTGGAGGTCTGTTGGTCCTCTCGGCCTCGTCCCCGCCCGCGGGGACGCCCCCTTCCTCCCCCGCGCCTCCGCCGCAGCCCGCCCCCGCCCGCAGGACGCCCCAGGGCTGCAGCTGATCCCCAGGCGGGCCGGGTCATCGGTTCGCGCCCCCCTGTTGCTTGCTGGTGGGAGCACCCGCTCGAGATGTGAGGGTCGTGTGAGTAGGCTTGCGACTTTGGCATGCGTGGAGGGAGCCCTGTGTCATATGACATGTGTGTGTGTGTGTTCGCATGTGTGTGTGTGCTCTTGTGTGCGTGTGTGGGTGTGTGGGTGCTTATGTGTGTGTGTGTGTTCGTGTATGTGTGTGTGTGTGTGTGTGCGTGCGTGCGTGCGTGCGTGCGCGCGTGTGTGTGTGTGTGTGTGTGCGTGTGTGCGTTCGTGTGTGTGTATGTGTGTGTGTGTCGGTGCGTGCGTGCGTGCGTGCGTGCGTGTGTGTCAACGACTGCATAACACTACAAAGCGGGATGAGGTTGCGAGTGTATCGCCTTCACTCCATCCATGCGGCTGGTAGAAGCTGCAGGAAAGATATGCGCGGCGCCGGCGCTGAAGCACGGTCGTGAAGAGGGGCCGCCCTCGAGCCCTGTAGCTCCTGGGAACTGACGGCGTGTCATCAGAAGTTCTGAAGAAGTCATCGGCGAGAGGTCGAACATAATTATTTGCTCGCCCTCCGTCCGAGAAATTTGCTGCAGGTCTTACATCAAGCTGCTCTAGCTTCAGTCTCGTCAAGCCCTCAAGGAAGCCACACGAGGGAGCCACATGTTGAACATGGGCAGCCATCCATTTGTCTCGCTGCTCGAAGTGTGAAGCGTTATGGCTATGAGCACTATCGCAGTCTCAGGCGATAGCTCGATTTTGAAACGGAGCTGTCCTCTATCCGTATAGCTGTTGATATTTTGATTAAGGAGCGTGGAAAGAGGAAGGCTTCACGTAATTAATTGATGTTGAAAACGGAGCGCCCCAAATCCATGTAGCGATGGGGACTTCACCCGACGGATGTGCGCGGCGCTATGGCAAAATCCACATGCGGAACATTGATCCTCCCTCCATCCGTATAACGAAAATGTAAAACATAAATCGAGTATACGCGAGAGACATCAAACACAGACGCCGAGGAAGCCTCAGGTAGAACGCCCAGATCCCCCAGCGAGGACGACTTGTTCACAAAGAGGATGGATGGCAGAGGAGGAGGAGGAGGAGAACTCGGATGACGGGGATACTGATGACGAGGAGGAGGAGGAAGAGGAGGAGGGGAAGGAGGAAGAAGATGGAGAGTAGGAGGGAGATGGAGGGCATCGGGCCCAATCAGGAACTTGGGGCACCTCTGGAGTTCTTCGACTCGCTGCGGGCGATGTTGAACGGTGCCGCCGCCGTGGTTTGCAGCCAGGCCCAACCCCCAATTATTTCTGCGGACCTGCCGCGGTCTGGCGCAGAGGCCCGTAGTAGAACGGAGCTTGGGGGAGCGTCCCTGTCCACCGAAGCCCGTCGCCAAGAGTAACTTCACTCTGTCTTGGACAGCCCGCCGATTTCGCCGTCGTACCCGGGCGTGAACTGCGAACGGCAGTGGGATGCGCGCCTCGATGTGGCGCGTCTGTCGCCAGCGGGTGCCCCACTGCAGCAGGTCGAGGCTGTGCATGCAGAGGGAGCTGCCGCTGGGCGGCCACCCCGGGAGGAGGTGGAGGTGCAGCTCTTGGTGGAGCTCGCCTCCTCCATCGCGGCCTCCAATGCAGGCCGCGGTGGAGGAGGCGACCGAGGAAAAGGCGCTGGCGGTGTTGGCCACCGCCCCCTCGCGCATACCCTGGTGATGTGGGCAGTGTGCAAGAATCGTGCCCCGAAAGACGGTGCCGACGAGGCCACCCTTTGGCCGTGCATGGGGGGCAGGATGCGGAAGCCGCTGCTGGAGGAGCAGGTGGCCAGCATATGAGGCCAGCAAGAGGGCAGGAAAAGGGGAAGGGTGAGGCAGGCAGGGGCAGGCAGCAGGGGCAGGAGGAGCAGCCCAGAGGACTGCCAAACCAGGGAGCTCAGTCTGCCCAGGCTGCGGTGAGGAGATGGCAGCCTTGTGGTCAGAGGGGTGATGGTTGCGGGGGTGGCTTGGGGAGGGGCGGCTCAGGGCAGTGGCCGGCGCCCCGAGCAGCGCCCTGGTGTGCAAATGGTGCGCCGTTACTTTTCCACCCAGCGGCCCCATGCCCAGCAGCCCCGTGCAGTGCTGCGCCATCCAGCCTGGCTCCTCTCCCTCTATCCTCGTTCCTCGCCTTCCTCGGGTCCTGTGGTGTCCCCCCCTCGTCGTCGCCGTCGTCTGTCGCTCCCTCTCCTCGGACGCGTGGCCGCAGTAGGCAATGTCGATCTGGGAGGTGGCCTTTTGTAGCCGCTGGTACGTGCGGCGCGCCAGATCCACGGATCTCGGATCCAAGCTCTGGCGGTCGGCGGTCGCCCCTGGACGGCGGCACCCGGGACCCAGGCCCCTGGTGACCGCAGGTGTACCCTATCGTCGGTGCGTGGTGAGTCTGTCTGCGGCTGGTACGACTTTGTTCTCGTTGCCCCCCCCCTTCCAAAAAAACAGACATCTCGATGACGCAGTGCTGCCGCGCATTGCGAGCTGCCTGAATGAGGCAGTGCCAGCGAGGAGCGTGAGGAGGAGGAGGAGGAGGAAGAGGAGGAAGAGGAGGAGGTGACTGGTAGGCATGTTGTTGCTGCAGGGGAGGCAGAGGAGGAGGGGCAGGCCAGCGCCTTGCAGGGCGCCATCGCAGCCATCGCAGGCATAGGTGGCCAGCGCTTCTTGCAGCGCGCCCGACGCGGCGCTGCAACGGTTGGGTGTCGCAGGTGCTAGGTGTCCATCCACGCGAGCACGAGCGTGTGGCGCCGCCAGCGATACCAGGGCTAACTCTGCCATCGTTGCCAGTCCTGCCATCGTGGCGATTGAGCTTCGTTGCAGTGCCGCTGGCTGCAGCCGAACACCTCGGGGTCCGAGGCGAGAATCGGATTCCCTGCGAGTGTGACGATGACGCGGCTGGAGCTTGAGTGCCTGGGCCAGCCGCGGCAGCACTGGAGGAGGGTGCAGCGCAACCCTCGGTGCAAGAGTTGCTTGAGCAACTCGTCGCCGAGCCCATGAGGCCTATCATCCTCGACACGCCAACCGACGCCTTGGCCCGGGCCTTAGGGCTGTGGCGCATCATGCTGGCAGAGCTTCACTGTGGCCCCAGCTGGAAGCACAGGAGACGCGCGGCGTCTTGCACCGCTATGGGCGTATATGCTGCCTGGTTTGGTCCTGCGCCTCTTCCCCATGCGCGCCACGCCGATAAGCAGCGCGGCTGCCCGCCCTCCGCACGTACATTCAGGAACGGGCCTCCGATGCCGATGACCCTCAGGACGCGTGTTGCCCCAAGGTGCGTTTATCGTGTTCAGCTCCACCGATGGCACGCGGCCTGTGATAGGCCTCATTACACCGCCTGCGTTGCTTTGAAGGGCTTCCGAGGACAACCACAAGTCGGCGCCAACACACATGCCAGGGATAGTCGAGCATGTAAGTCCAGCCGTGTGTGTGTGTGTGTGTGTGTGAATGTGTGTGCGTGTGTGAATGTCTGAATGTGAATGTGCATGTGTATGTGTCCCTGGTTCTCCGTAACTATACGGTCTTGCTGCGGTCATGGCGGCCTGTTCGCACCAGCTTGGGCTTGTCTGGCTTTGTTGTCCGTGTCGAGTTCGTTTGGTTCGACAGTTCCCTGGTCATCTCATTCGCTTGCGCAGTGAACGAGCTTGGGCGCTCCGCCTCGCTGTGCCCCAGCGCATCAGGCGGGAAAGACGATGGCGCCAGCAAGCGACCCCCACACACGCAGACCCACCAAGGCGCCACGAGAGAAGACCAAGGCGGCCAGGAAGGTCGAGAGGGGGAAGCTCCAGGCCGACAAGGAGGCACTCGCGGCTGCAGTCAGCCACGCCGAGCCCGAAGAGGCAGCGCTGGAGCGTTCCATGCCATACGGCGCAGACGAGGGCGAGCACGTGACGGCGGCCGAGAAGCCAAATCATTTCCTGCAGCGGCTCTTTGGTGGACTGTTGCCATGGAGGCCAAGCTCCCTGAGCAGGCCGCGAGCATCGAGATGGAGGCCTCCCTCTCGGGCGAAGGTCACGAGGCCGAGGACGGGGGCGACATCGTGGCGGTGAGCCAGGCGGCACGTGGCAGCATCTGCGGTGCGAGGCTGGCGGTGGTGAGCCAGCTGAAGGGCCCGCAGATCTAAGACACCGTAGATTGGAAGCAGGCTTTTCTGAATAATCAGTTGGATCCAGGAGGCCTTCTGTGATGGTGCAAAGGTGTAGTTTTTCGTCGCGCGCCTCGTACTCTTATCCATCCTAGTTATCCTGTGGTTCGCTCGAACATGACGTTCGAGGATGAGGGGGAAGATAATGAGGAGGACCAGTATGAGGATGAGCAGGAGGACCAGGATAGGGATGAGGATCTTGATAGGCATGATGACAGTTTATGATTGGTGGTTGAAAGTTTCTGGTTGGTGGGTGATGGTCGATGGCCGATGGCTGATGATGAGTAATGCTGGTGACGACTATGATAAATATGATGATGACGATGAGGATGGTGATGATGGTAATACTGCTGATGATGCTGATGATGATGCTAATGATGATGCTGATCCATGTTGATGGTGGTGGTGGTGGTGCTGACGATGATGAGTGTGCTGGTGATGGAGATAGTGACTGTCGAGCCGAGGCGACTCGAGCGAAGTTTTGAGTCAACCTCTCCTTCCTCACTCTCTCTTTTGCCGCCGCCTCCGCGGCTGTATGGGATCGAGGAGGGGGCCCCCTCTTTTGTGCAGAGAGCGCGGCAGACACGCTCGCCGGCACGGGCCGGCGCCAGATGCTCGACGGACGAGCACAGCACATCTCATCGTGCAAAGTACAGCGTCGACGTTAATCACGACATTGGTATTGCGGAGCTTGATCCACGGACCAGTTCTGGTGGTCCCCAAGGGACCAGAACACCATGGAGCGAGACGACAAGAAGGCAAAGGACGCCATCCCTGAATGGGACGGCAACCCAGGACGTTGGCGACACTTCGAGACGGCAGTGAAGTGGTTCC